GCGGGGACGGGCCCGCCCTGCGGGGGAGACGGCCCCCGCCTGCTATGGAGACAGTGCCCGCCTGCCGCGGAGACAGCGCCGGCCTACTACGGAGACAGGGCCAACCTGCAACAGAGACAGCGCCGGCCTGCAACGGAGACAGGGCCGGCCTGCTATGGAGACAGCGCCTGCCTGCCGGGGAGACAGCGCTGGCCTACTAGGGAGACAGGGTCGGCCTGCTGCGGAGACAGCGCTGGCCTACTAGCTGGGGACTGCCCGGGGCTCCACCAGAGGCAAGGAGCATGCCCTGAGTACGCCCTGAGTAAACGTCAGCGTTGGCCAGTGTCAGCCTTAGCTCTGAAGTGCGATCAGGACACAGAAGAGCCTGGGAGCAGCCACAGCATGCCAGCTACTTGCCATGGCTGGGCCCCAGAGGACATGTGCTCAGGCCACCAGCAGAGCAGGGCCCCCAAATGAGAGGTATAATATTCAAAGGAGCAATAAAACAGGCCTGGGAAGCTAATTGGTCTTATGTAGACTTTGGCGCTTGGTTTAAGGCTGAGTAGTTCTGGTCAGCTTGTTTGTTTTAGCTGCCTCTGGGCAGGGGCTATCTCACTCTCCTCCTAGGGGAGGCCCCAGGTCCGCCTTCGTGAAAGTACGAGTGCCTGAGGTGTGACCACAGAGAAGGCAGCGGGGAAAGCCGGGGAGCCAGGGGGGCTCTTGCCGACACTCCTGTGCCTGACGCTCCTGGCACAGGCTCGCTTCCGCTTGTGCCTTCCTCGAGAAGTCTGGGCAATCCAACCACACGCTGCACCAGAAGGGTGTTTGGGGCCCGCTCTGACTCAGCCTCTGTGGTGACAGTAGGCCCGGTCACAGGCCTTACTAATGTAAAATGCGGTGCACCCGGAGGAAGTCCAGCCAGGGCACTGGGCGAGGAATGGCCACGTAACCACAGCCCTTCCGAGACTCTGCAGGCCAAAGGGCTTCCACCAGGCCACCCTCTAGACTCAAAGCCTGACCTGCAAGACAGTCTGTGCAGCGCGGTGGTAAGCCACACCCCCCTCAGAAGGCTTCTAGTATCCACAAGGCAAGGACTGGTGTCCTGAGATCAGAGGAAGTTTGGGCCATGGAAGGATTTCTTTCCTTCCACGCTCTCCAATCCCTGGGCCTAACCTGAAGATGCTAAGGCTAGTCGGACTGGAGGAAAGTAGCCCAGGGCCGGCCAGACAGTATCTCTGTTTGGGTCTGGGAGTGGTGATCCCAGAAAGTCCCAGGAGGAGGGAGCTATATAGACAGGGACAGGATGGGCCAGCACGGGGCATGACGAGCAGTTGCTCCCTGAGCAAAAGAACTCATCCTTGCAGGAGACCAAGGATGGGGTGGTGCTGTCCCACCCAAGGGACACCAGGCCAACGTTGCCCATCAGTTCCTGTCAGTCATTGGTCAAGAGCTGCTCCTGGGGGTGGTGGGTTCCCAGGTGCTTCTACGCCATGCAAGCACCCAGGCAGGGCAGCTCACAGCAGCCCCACAGAGCTCCCCACAGACATGCAGGCTCTGACAGGTGCGGTCAGGTGCACAGGTAGCACGTGGCACCACGTGGTCGTGGTAAACTAGTGCTGCTCTCACCCATTAACTCTAAGGAGTGCTCATGGACTCACTTCTGCGTGAAGAGTCTCTCCGGCCACTCTCTATGGACCTTTGCATTTCAGAAACTGCTAAGAAACCTCAGTATTTGTCTTCCTCTAAAGCACCCCGAATCCAAGGACTGAGGCTTTCAAGGTCTCGTTTTCTGCCTCCACCAGCCACTCACTTACCGAAGCAGCACTTTGAGTAGCAGGGGGTAGCCCTCTGCATTCTCAAACTCCAGGAACAGAGCCGAGGAGACAGGGTAGGCATCCTTCACGAAGCCCAGGACGAGGGTCACGGCCTCGCTCACCTCGGGAGCCGGAAGTGTGTCTGCAAGCTTGGAGAGGTTCTGGAGCGAGAGGCGGACACAGTCCATGGCTGCGGGAAGAAGCACAGCCCTGGTGAGCTCGGGGGCAGCGCTTTTCTGCCAGGCTCATTCCCTCCCCACCACACACTTTAAGTCACATCTAAGATGTGGATGAAGCTGAATCCAAAACAGTTTATGCTCACTCGGGTCAATAAGGCAGTTCCTGGGCCAGGCCTGCAGTGTGCCGGCCTAGCACTGCCCAGAGGAAGTTAGGTACCATATGGTCAACCAAGGTTCAAGGCCCATCCCTGGTGGCTTGAGAAACACACCTAGGCACCTAGGATCCTGGCAGGATGGAAAACTAGAGGAGAGAGGATTGCAGAGTGTCCAGGCCCTGTAGCTCTCTCTTTTTCATGCATGCACATACATCCTCTGGCATCAAAAGAAAAAAAAATTTAAAGAAAAGAAGGTGGCTCCCCAGGGAAGGAGCTGTCCTGGGAGCCACACTCCACCGGGCCAATAGGCGACACAGGAGAGGAAGGTCGCCTCTTGGCCCTTTGCTCTTAGTTCCCCGGAAACAGCGCGGTGCAGGCCCACCAGGCTGGGACACGCAGCACACAAGGCCGAGCCAGGCAGAAGCCCTCAGGGAAGCCACGAGCTGAGGCTGGAGCCTGGACCACTCGCAGCCAGAGGCCAGAGCAGGGAAGGTGTGGGAGGCTGCGCACCAGCGAGTCTGCCAAGGTTTCTCAGAGAGCAAACAATTGCCATGATTGGTTCCCTTCAAAAAACCTGACCTTCGAAACCTTGCTCTGATTGGCCACTAGAATCCCTCAAATTTGCATATCCAGCACCTCATGATTGGTCCAAACGCAACCAACCATACCCTACCATTTACGACCAATCATGGCCCACCATTTACAACCAATCACGGCCCACCATTTACAACCAATGCCAGATGACCAGGAAGAGGAGACAGATGACCAGGAAGAAGACGACGACCAGGCTGGAGACCAGAAGAGCCTGAAGAGCTGAAACACTGCACAGTCTCCAGACGACCCTAGAGAGTTGTAACACTACATCGTCTCCGGACGACCCTGGAGAGCTGTGACACTGCGTCGTCTCTGTGCTGCTCACAATAGACGACACAACCCTGAAGAGTTGTAACACTGCATCGTCTCCGTGCTGTACCTTGCTGCCCACAATAAACAGACGACACTGAAGACACGGTGTCGTCTCCATGCTATAACACTACGCTGCTTGTCCCGGCTCTCACTCCTTCACTCAGGAAACCTGTTCAGCTGTCCCCCGGGTCGGCACACGTGGTGCCCAAACAGGGACAGGACAGGAAGGCTCTCCGGATGTGCAGGAGGCGGGGCACAAAATCATGGCGTGTTTCAGGTCCTGAGAGGCCAGAGAATGGGAGCACAGAGGTGTGGGCTGAGGGAGGGGAGGAAGGCCGTGTCCACTCATGTGGGGCCTGACCAGGAAACCTGCTGGTTACCCCAGAGCATGGGAAGCCAGGGACAGGCTTGAATTGGAAGAGAGATACCATCAGATTTGCACTGGGGCAGATCACTGTTGTCAGGCATCACTCACTGAAGTGCTGGGTAAGCCATACCAGTGGGTCAGAAAAGTACCCACAAGAACTTGAGATAATACAAGTTCAGCCCCTCAACTGTGAAGCCTTGGGAGTGCCCCAAAGCCAGGCAGGGCAACCCTAAGAATACCAGCGTGGCCACAACGGCCAGGCCAGCCCTTGCTTCCTGACCCTCTCCTCACACGTGAGTCCATAGAAATCCCCACTACTCTGAGGAGGGCCTGGGCAGGGAGCTCTAGGTGGCAGGTTCCCAAGGAGGTGGCATTTTCCTTCTGTTGCCTGGGGCAATGGAGAACACTGCCGTGAGAGCCTCTGTGATCACGGCGTACAGCCTTTCCTCAGCTGCCTCAGACTCATCCTGTCCTGGAGGGCCTGGGCTGGGCTGAGGTCCTTGGGCCCAGCAGAGCCCTGGACCTTCGACACCAGGCCCTGGGTTCACAGGGAGCTTTGAATCTCCAAACAGGGGCTGGCGTTTTATCCCAGGAGTCAGTTACAGTGGGAAAAGTACAGGCTTGTCGGACTCTGTTACACAGGGCTCCAGGAAGAAGCCAGATGACAGGACGAGAGTTCGTGGATGAGCAGGTCCCACTGGCACTGCTCGGGGTCAGGGAAAGGGAGGGACTGTGTGCTCCAAGATGCCCACTGGGCACAGCTGGTGGAGCTGAGACATGAGCATAGCAGGTAGGGCGGCAAGCTGGCACGAACTTCTCACAAATGCACTTTGGGGTAGCCTTGCAGGCCTTCCCTCTCTACCCCGAGCTGGGCCAGCAACTGAGCTGAGGCCAACACACTGTCCTGAGAATCTGTGAGGAATGGTGGTCTCTATGGTGGCCTGCAGGTTTCCCAGCTTGAGCTGGGTCTTCGGGAGGCAGATGATGGTAAGCAGCCCTGGTACTGCTCACAGGGTCGAGTCCCTTGTCTTGCCTTTGACCAACCCAGGGAATGACGATGCGGTGCTGACACCTTCGTGGCATCCGTGACATGCCAGGCAACGATTAGGTCACCGGGAGAGTAATGACATATTTCTCTACACAAAAATGCATCATGACTTTCATGACAACTCAATAAACCCTAGAAATATGTCGACTGGTTGAAAAATCCCAACAATCCAATGACATCAGCAGTGTTCTCCTCCACTGTACAGACAAGAAACCTGGTGCCCCAGGTCCCTAAGTGCCAGAGGCCGCTCAGCTGCAGGGCAGAGCTGGCTGTGAGCTCCAGAGTCACAGGGGTCAAAAACTAGGGCAGAAACGAAGCTGCTGCCACCAGGTATCTCCAACTTAAATTCTGACTCTTCACTAGCTGTGCAGCCTTGGCAAATTCTATACCTTTAATGTCCCTTTTTCTCATTGCAAAATAATATCAATCTCAGAGAAATGAAAGACAGTGGAGAAATCGGCCTGGTGCAGCATGTGTGATGGTGTGGCGAGAGCGAGTCCCCTTCCCCCTGCCTCCAACGCAGCACCAAAATGGGCAGTAAGAGCACTTTCATGAAAGGGGCCAAGCACCATAGGATCATCTACCAGCCATAGCTGTTCGTTTGTCTCGTCTTCAGCCGTAACATCTATACTGATGCTGCACGAGCGTTCCAGGGTTTATAGGGAGGGGTCTGCAGCCTTTCTGGAGTCCAAGGGAAGCCCACAGTCTCCCAGGACTTACCCTGCAGGTATTGTATGACGCTGAGGTTCTGGGCCTTGGAGATTGCTCTTAGCACACAGAAGGTGGGCTCTTTCCAGAAGGAGCAGCTGTGCTCGCGAAGACAGGTCGTGGCAATCAGTAGAGACTGGAGCTCGCTTCCCGAGAGAAGTCCCTCTAGACCCTGGGACTCACTACAAATGTTGAGCAGCATCTGAAAAGAAGGAAAATGAAACAAAAACATCCCAGGAGACCCTGGTGAGGAAGCCTCCTTCCATGGCAGGATGGTTTCCTTCTTCTCTGGGGCACTGATGGGCATGTCTCAGGGGAAGGACAGGACTGGGTATGGCCATGCTGAGACCCCCAAGCAGCACAGCCCATGGAGCTGGCTGCAGGGCCTGGGCTCAAGTCTAAACACGTAATCCCTATCCAGAAAGCGGTCACCTTTCCAAATCAGAATAGCCCAGAGCAATGCACCTGTCTTCTACATGGGAACAGAACGATGCTATCAATAGTGAAGGCCCAACGCTAACTGGCTCCTGTGCTATGGAAGGAAAGGAGGTGTTCCAGAGCTCCTGGTGGGTACATCGGCACCACTGCTCCGTGAGACCACGCACTACCCTGTAATCCCCTTCCTGGGCTCCTTGCCACCCCAATCCAGCCTCCTGATGACCAGCAGAGGGGCTTCCAGCACCTTCCAATCTGCTCAGCATAAACCCAGACACCCTAGCATGGCTCACAGGGACTATGGACTTGCCCTCCTCTCTCTCACTTTACCAGTACAGCTCTCCATGCTCCGGTGGGAGCTCCTTCCACTCCTGCAAACACCAGCTCCTTCCACCCAAAGGAAAGCCTCATCCCTGCCCTAGGTGACAAAGCTGAAGACGGCAGCTATGGAGAGGCTTCAGACTCCATTTCTTGCATCTGATATAGGTAGGTGTGACCACACGGCCAGGTGCTCTCCTTGTCTCCTTGTACCATTGTCCCTGGCTTGAGTGACCACTTCTCTGCTCCCCTCCCTCCCCTCCTCCACTGCTAGGGGCTAGGCTACTGTTCCGACCCTGCCATTGCTACAGGATGGCCGTTTACCCTAATGTAAATCAGGTCTCCTCGTCACCGTTTCCCAGCACAGCACCCACATACTTGGCAACTGGGCATTTATTCATAGGCCATTCCTCCCTGTTTGGCTTCCCCACCCGCCTGTCACCTAGAAGAGGCGGGGAATCTGGTGCCGCAGTCACCGCGGGTCTGGCAGGGAGCTGTGCCCGGGGCAAGCTGTGTATCATTGTGTGGAGGGAAGTAATGAAATGCCTTGAGGAAGGTGGACAGCCTGTCACCAGTGGCTCACATTCTGTCTTCACATGCAAAGGGACTCGAAGGTAGGTGCACGACTGGTCCTGCAGGGTTCGCACACCCACGCGGTGAAGGTTTGCGAAGGTGCTCAGCAGGGCATCCTCATCACCACATACACTAGGGCAGAGATGGGCAGTGACGCCAAAGTGTCCAACGCACCCTCAGAGCTAACCCGCCACGAGTGGAATCTGCTGGAACTCTGCAATACCTCTGGGGCTGACGATTCGACTTGAGTCTTAGCCTAAAGTGGGTATTACTGTGAACACGTGTGTGCAGGGCCCAGTTGCATGTGGGGAGTCCCCAAATGGCGTGAGCACGTGCTGTGAGACACGCTGTTCCAAGCACCAGATGCACAAAGGTGAGGAAGACATGGGGTCTCGTCGCCCTCCCATGCAAGGTCGGAGAAGCAGGAAGAGTTTTCTGGAACATGCAGCCTGGCAGATGCCAAGACAGCAGGAGCTGTCATGAAGGGGGCAGGAGAAAGCAGAGAGAAGTTAGTCGTTGGTCGGGGAGGAGAGGAAAGGTGGGAAGTGACGAGAGGAAATTGCATGTGACACTTCACAGCCTGAGCCGCTCCCTGGAGGAGGGGAGGAGGGAGGAGGGAGGAGAGGAAGAGAGAAAGAGAGAGGAGAGGAGGAGGGGAGGAGAGAGCAGGGGAGGAGGAGAGGAGGAGGGGAGGAGGTGCCATCTCAGCAGTTCAGCGTGACCTGAATGAACGCAAGCCAGACCCCAGGGCTCCGACCCCGGTCCTCGCCCCACCTCTGTGACTGCAGATGCCGCACTTGCAGTGAGCTTAGTTAGAAGAGACTGAGCACGGCAACAGCACACACACACTGGGAGCCATGCGAGGGCCTGGCACAGGGGCGGAAGAGACTGAGCACGGCAACAGCACACACACGCTGGGAGCCGTGCAAGGGCCTGGCACAGGGGCATGTTCGAAGCAAGCACTTAGAAAACGCCGGGCCGCTGTTAGAGTGGGGCTGAACTTGCTTGTTATCGAGGGGAAGGGCCGGGGAAGGAGGCTGCAGCAGCCAGGGCGGGTGGGCGGCAGCCAAGAGCACAGATTGGAGCTGGACAGTGCAGGGAGAATAGCAGGGCTTCCTGGGAGAGAGCAGAGGGGGCGCTGATGCAGGGATAAGACAAGGTGGGGAGAAAAGGAGAGAGTCCCTGTCCCAGCTGTTTGGACACAGCGGGTGGGGCAGGGGGTGACCTGGACACGATGGGCGACCAGAGGGGCTGAGAATGGTGAGAGCATCCCCCAGAGGCCTCGGGCGGCTACTCCTCACTCACCCGCACAAACATCCTCTGCCCTTGAACGTCACTCTCAAAAGGCTCTTCCTGTCCCAGGGGAAAGGCGAAGAAGAGGTAGAGGCACTGCAGGAGCAGGGCCGGGAGGCCGGACTCTGCCACGCGGCCCAGTGTCTCCTACGGGAGAAGAGAACCCATGAGCACAGGACCCGTGAGCACAGGACCCGTGAGCACACCGCAGGCAGGGCCTGCGAGGAACCCACCGCCTGGAGCCAGGCCCCAGGCCATTTCAGGGGTGACCACAGGAGAGGCACTTGCTATCTCTGAACTCCCCTGCCTGTGGAATGTAGTCCTGGGATGTGCGATGTCCCCCACAGGCATCCTGATCGTGAGCTCATGGGGGGGAGGGGGGGCCTGAAAACCAGTGTACAAGGACTTGCGGGCACATCACACAGCCGGCAGGGAAGGGAAGCCATCGGGTGGGCAGGTGCTGATAGGGCCAGGGTCCTCCTGCCCTACCAGTGACACCCTAGACGTCGCCAGGACCAAGCAACCAAGTAGGCCATGCCAGACATGACTGTGTGCAACTGGACGCCCAGGACTGCCAGACTGCCGGAGCCAGCAGCTACAGCCCTGCCTGAGCTTCCCAGGGCTTTTCTCCCCAAGCTCTGCCTGCAGAGCTAGGCAGGCAGAGCTCGGGTCAGCGTGCCTGCAACCCGGGGGCACGTGTGTGCGTGTGCGAGCACATGAGTGCATATGCGAGCACATGAGTGCATGTGGGGACGCCTAAGGTAAGTGTCCACGCATCTTGCACCCGACCGACAAGCAGGACAGAGGAAGAGGATGGCAGTGGGGCCTGGGCCAGAGCCAGGATGAGGGACAGGGTGCAGCGTGCCCTCCATGCCCTCCCAGCACCTACTGAAAGCCAGCTCTGGCTTCTTTCACAGCTCGAATCTGATGGTTCCCAGTGGAAAGCACACCACGGGCCCAAAATGCAGGCCTTCCCCAGGGCTGTTTACGCAGCCAAGGAAAGTTGGTGTCCTCCCCCAGATAACGTGGAGAGCAGGGTCCAGCCCAGAGCTGGCGAGGACGGTGTGCTGTGTCGCTGTCACAGCTCCACGCGTGAACCCGAATGCCCGTCTGGTGACGGTGCCCACCTAACACGGAGAGCAGTGGTCAACCTGCCTAGCTCTTCATTGTAGTGCTGGGCTCCAGGCCCGCACTCCTGCCACCGTCTCTGGGCTGCCCTGAACGAGGCCTCTGACCGACGTTTTGTTTATTATTTATTTGCTTGTGGTTACACGGCTTACCAACGGAAAGGGCAGGATTGGAGCCTGGATTCCAGACTCGAATGTCCACGCCCTATCATGAGAGCACGGGTGCTGGGCACTCAGTATTGGGGAAAGAAAGACGTCGGGGCATGCCGCGTCAGGGCTGCTCCCTCTGCTCGTGTGCGAGGAGCGTGCCTGCAGGGCCGAGGGCCTGAGCTCACCGAGTCTGTCCCCGTGAGCACGTACACCGACTTCAGGAGCAGGAAGTCATCCTGGTCCACGGCGCCTTTCCACCGCAGCAGCTGCTCAGCCGCCGCGCGCGCTTGCTCTGGAAGAAAGTGGCAGGTGAAACAGTGACCTGTCCCTGGGGGATGTGCCTGCTCATCTCCAGAGGACTTCGGTCTCCTGCCTACACCCCTAAGGACACCCAGATCTCTGCCAGCAGGTCACACTCTGCAGATTGCTCTCTGTGGAGGACAGCTGCTATCATGCCACCCCTACTCACCAACCATCTGTGGTTCCCTATTGCCATGCGAGTAAGAACTGGCTGCTGACTCCCCACAACGCAGGATCTTCACCTCACTTCCTGTCCCCCAGCCCCCTGCGTTGCAGGACTCCTGCAGTCTGCTCCATGCTATGCCCCTCCTGCCTGGAAGTCCCTCCTTCCCCTCAGCCCACAGCCACAAGATGCTGCCCCGCCTCTGGGGTCCGCTCACACGGAGGGGATGGCGCAAGTCAGGAAACTTCAGACTTAGGCCGGCGAGTTCTCAGGACCAAGCACTCCCCCGCACATGCTGCCACGCTGATCCCAGCACTTCCTCCAAGAGCCCCCAAGTCTCCATGTCTATGTGTACATGAGCTGTGGGTCTCCATACACGTGTCTGTGTGTCTGTGCATTCGTGTGTCTCTGTGTGTAGTAGGTACGTGTGTGTGTATTATCTGTAAGTAGTGGTGTCTGTTAGTGTCTTCATGTAAGGCAGTATGTGTAGAGTCTGTGTGGCAGTGTGTAGTGTGTGTGTTTGCATGTCTCTGTGTGTAGCGTCCGTACATGAGTGTATCTATGTGTAGTAGTGTAATGCCTGTGTTTTGTGTGCATGCATATGATGTGTGACTGTGTGTTGTCTGTGTGTAGTATCATATGTGGAGTGTGTGTGGCAGTGTGTGTCATGTGTCTGTGTGTGCCTGCGTGCAGTGCCTATATGTGTATGTATCTGTGTATAGTATGTGGAGAGTGTGTGTACATGTGTGTGTGCCTGTGCCGTGCCTATATATGTGTGTATCTGTGTATGGTATGTGGAGAGTGTGTGTACATGTGTGTGTGTGCCTGTGTCAGTGCCTATATATGTGTGTAACTGTGTATGGTATGCAAAGAGTGTGTGCATGTATGTGTGTGTGCCTGTGTCAGTGACTATATATGTGTGTATCGAAAGCCAGCTCTGGCTTCTTTCACAGCTCGAGGCTGATGGCTCCCAGTGGAAAGCACACCACGGGCCCAAACTGCAGGCCTTCCCCAGGGCTGTTTACGCAGCCAAGGAATGTTGGTGTCCTCCCCCAGATAACGTGGAGAGCAGGGTCCAGCCCAGAGCTGGCGAGGACGGCGTGCTGTGTCGCTGTCACAGCTCCACACGTGAACCCGAATGCCCGTCTGGTGACGGTGCCCACCTAACACGGAGAGCAGTGGTCAACCTGCCCGGCTCTTCATTGTAGTGCTGGGCTCCAGGCCCGCACTCCTGCCACCGTCTCTGGGCTGCCCTGAACGAGGCCTCTGACCGACGTTTTGTTTATTATTTATTTGCTTGTGGTTACACGGCTTACCAACGGAAAGGGCAGGATTGGAGCCTGGATTCCAGACTCGAATGTCCACGCCCTATCATGAGAGCACGGGTGCTGGGCACTCAGTATTGGGGAAAGAAAGACGTCGGGGCATGCCGCGTCAGGGCTGCTCCCTCTGCTCGTGTGCGAGGAGCGTGCCTGCAGGGCCGAGGGCCTGAGCTCACCGAGTCTGTCCCCGTGAGCACGTACACCGACTTCAGGAGCAGGAAGTCATCCTGGTCCACGGCGCCTTTCCACCGCAGCAGCTGCTCAGCCGCCGCGCGCGCTTGCTCTGGAAGAAAGTGGCAGGTGAAACAGTGACCTGTCCCTGGGGGATGTGCCTGCTCATCTCCAGAGGACTTCGGTCTCCTGCCTACACCCCTAAGGACACCCAGATCTCTGCCAGCAGGTCACACTCTGCAGATTGCTCTCTGTGGAGGACAGCTGCTATCATGCCACCCCTACTCACCAACCATCTGTGGTTCCCTATTGCCATGCGAGTAAGAACTGGCTGCTGACTCCCCACAACGCAGGATCTTCACCTCACTTCCTGTCCCCCA